CTCCCAGGTTCAAGCAATTCTCCAGCCTCAGCCTCCGCCTCCAGAGTAGCTGGTATTACAGGTATGCACCACCATACCTGGCTAATTTTGTATTTTTAGTAGAGATGGGGTTTCTCCATGTTGGTCAGGCTAGTCTTGAACTCCCAACCTCAGTGATCCGCCCACCTCGGCCTCCCAAAGTGCTGGGATTAGAGGCATGAGCCACTACACCCAGCCCAGGTCTAGCAAATTTTAAGATTTTCATTTTCCCCATTAATTTACTTTGAAAAATATCAAACTTTAAACTTTGAAAGACTAGTATAGTGAGCACTGATGTATCCTTTCACCTGAATTCACCAACTGCTTGCATTCTGTCACATTTGCTTTATTGCTATCTCTGTATCTATCTATGCAGTTTTTTATTGAAATATTTCATCTAAAAAAAATTGTAAAGGCCAGGTACAGTGGCTCACGCCTGTAATCCCAGCATTTTGGGAGGCTGATGCAGGAAGATTGCTTGGGGACAGGAGTAGGAGACCATCCTGTGCAACATGGCAAGACATGTCTCTATAAAAAAGTAAAAAAATTAGCTGGGCATGGTGGCATGCACTTGTGGTCCCAGCTACTTGGGAGGCTTAGGTGGGAGGATTGCTTGAGCTCAGGAGGTTGAGGCTGCAGGGAGCCATGATTGTGGCTCACTCTAGCCCACGTGACAAAGCAAGACCCTGTTTCAAAAACATCAACAAAACAAAAACAATAAAGATAATTTTGTAAATTGTATATTTACACTTGTTATGCATATTTGATGTGTGTGTGAGCATGACCCTCTCGCAGAGATGATCAACTATGTACCAACAAATCCATGCTCCCCTTTCCCACCCAGCTAGGGACCACATCTTCCAGACCCCTTTCCATTGGGCAAGGGCCATGTGACTAGTTCTCACCAATGGGATGTGAGTAGAAATGCAAGTGTCTCTCTGGGCTAGGGTGACTTAAGGGGTCCCTGGATAACCATGCCGCATAAGTCAGTAAACTTCTAACCTAAAGTTTGCATTTGCTTGTTACATAAGCTAGATTGCCTGAACTAATACAACCCCAATAAATAGCATGATCTATCCCTGGGTTAAGATTGCAGTTTGAAACACACTGATGTGGTCTTCTGATTTTCCAAATATTTTTGAACCATCCCAGGGACTGGGAGGCTGAGGCAGGAGGATTGCTTGAGCCCAGGAGTTTGAGGCTAGCCTGGGCAACATAGCGAGATCCTGTCTCTAAAATAAAATAAAATGAAAAGAGACAAAAGTCAAAAAGAAGTGTCTCTTATGGAAGCAGAGGTTGAAGGGCTGGAGGAGGCTAAGCCCTAGCCGTTTGAACATGCCCCTCCCCATTATCCTCAAAGTGAACCTGCAGCATCTTTCCTGACTCTTAGGACTCAGGGAATACTGTGTGACAACCACTGAGCGAGGTGGTCGTCATACCTCCGTTTCTCAACAGAGGAGATGGAGGCCAGGTGCAGTGGCTCACGCCTGTAATCCCAGCATGTTGGGAGGCCGAGGTGAGCGGATCACATGAGGCCAGGAGTCCAGCCTGGCCAACGTGGTGAAACCCCATCGCTACGAAAGCTACAAAAATTTGTCAGGTGTGGTGGCATGCGCCTGTAATACCAGCTACTTGGGAAACTGAGGCACGAGGACTGCTTGAACCCAGGAAGTGGAAGTTGCAGCAGTGAGCAGAGATCATGCCCCTGGGTAACACTGAGACTCTGTCTCAAAAAAAAAAAAAAAAAAGAGGAGATGGAGAAGCAGCAGGAGAACAATTCTCCTGCCTGAGCCTCCTGAGTAGCTAGCATTACAGTTGCCCACCACCACACCCGGCTAATTTTTTGTATTTTTAGTAGAGACAAGGTTTACTTGAGTAAAATCACAAATAGCCACCCAGGCCCAGAGCTAGAGCCATCTCCCAGGTCTCTGATGAGGATAGGCCTGTCCCCTTCCTTTCTCTGCCTCTCATCTGCCTCCTCCACTGTGAAGGAGCCACACAGACTCACATCTATTAACCAGCACCCCCAAGAGGAGACCCCAGGCATCCCAGGGCCCCAGAAGGCTTGCAACAAAGCCTTGTGCTAACTCTCCAGCCAGACAGTTGCATCCTGGAGCAGTTACCTATTCCTCATTCATCTCTGTTGCTTCTACAACAGCCAAAATGATGCTAGCGCCTAGTAAGCATCCAGTCCTTTGCATGTAGTAAGTGCACACTCTATAGGTATAATAAGAATAGTTCAAATTCACATAGCACTTTCTATGTGCTCAACACTCAGCACTCTGCACACATTGACTTTATTTATTTCTCACAACAACCCCATGAAGTGAATGCTATTATCATCAGCCCCATTTGACAATGAAGAAATTGAGGCAAAAAAGATTGAGTCAGCCGGCCACGGTGGCTCATGCCTGTAATCCCAGCACTTTGAGAGGCCAAGGCGGGAGTATCACTTGAGGTCAAGAGTTTAAGTCTAGCCTGGCGAACATGGTGAAACCCTGTCTCTACTAAAAATACAAAAAATTAGCCAGGCGTGGTGGTAGGCACCTATAATACCAGGCACTCAGGAGGCTCAGGCAGGAGAACTGCTTGAACCCAGGAGGTGCAGGTTGCAGTGAGCCAAGATTGTGCCATTACATTCCAGCCTGGGCGACAGAGCAAGACTCCGTCTCAAAAAAAAAAAAAAGACTGAGTTATTTACTTGAGGTCACACAGCTAGTAGATGGTAGTTTGAATCCAGGCAGCCTGACTCAAGCTGCTAACCACTATGCTGTCCAGCCCCCTTGGATGCTATTATGACATGATAGCCGAAGGAATGAAGATTTGGTGTCAGACTAGATTTAATCGCCTATTTGCTGGGCGATGCAGGGAAACTTGACTTAACGACCCTGAATCTCAATTTCTCCATAAAATGGAGATAATACTTCCTACGTGGATGGGTCATTGCAAGGCTTCAAAGGGAGAAAACGTAACAAATCGCCAGCATCTTGCCCATTACATAAAAGGGGCTTAAATGAAAACAAATTTCTTTCCTTGTCATTGACCCAGGAATATGAGTCAGGAAAAATGGCAGGCACAATTCCTTCATTTAAGCATCTCAGCATGCTTTTTTGTTCTTTCTTTTTTTTAGACAAGTTTCCCTCTGTTGCCCAGGCAGGAGTGCAGTGGTGTAGCCTTGGCTCACTGCAGCCTCCACCTCCTGAGTAGCTGGGACTACAGGCACCTGGCACCATGTCCAGCTAATTTTCACATTTTTAGTAGAGATGGGGTTTCACCATGTTGGCCAGGCTGGTCTCGAACTGCTGACCTCAAGAGATCTGCCCATCTCAGCCTCCCAAAGTGTTGGGATTACCATGTGAGCCACTATACCCAGCCTCAGCATGCTTTTAGGAATAAGATTGATCAATCATGAAGCAACCAGACAAGTCTCAAAATACTTTCAATAAAGGATGGAATTAATTGCAGTAAAACATAAGTAAAATCAGAGCAGTGTGTGGCCATGCTCCAGGCCTTTGCATATGCTGTTCCCTCAGCTGGGAACACTCTTCTCCCAGCTGACTCCTGCTAACCTTCAGGTTCCAGCTCAGATATATCAGTCTACTCCTTCAGGGTCAAGAAGTCTGTGACCTCTTCCCCCTCTCCTAGGTCCCTCTGTATCCCACGGCGCTGTCTCTGTCCTAATCATGGCACTGTGTCTTTGGTTGCTGCTGGCTCGTCTATCTACCCACCAAATTGGGCACTAAAATCTGAAGCAAAGTTGTTCTTTTTGTTTTTTTTTGTTTGTTTGTTTGTTTTCTGAGACAGAGTCTCACTCTTATCATCCAGGCTGGAGTGCATCTGGGCTCACTGCAACCTCCACCTCCTGCGTTCAAGCAATTCTCTTGCCTCAGCCTCCCCAGTAGCTGGGATTACAGGGGCCCACCAACATGCCTGGCTAGTATCTGTATTTTTAATAGAGCCAGCGTTTCACCATGTTGGCCAGGCTGGTCTCGAACTCCTGACCTCAGGTGATCCGTCCACCTCAGCCTCCCAGAGTGCTGGGATTACAGGAGTGAGCCACTGTGTGAAGCAAACATCCTCCTATGTTCCCCCAGTGCCTCACAAAATGTGTTGCATACCATAAGCCCCAGTGGAAGTTTGTTGAAGAGATGAACAAACAGACAATGAATTAATGAATACAGGAGGATTCTGGGTGGAGGCAAGATGCACTCTGGGTATCTAGTTCCTCCCTTTACTAAATGGGACAAAGTAAGGCAATGGTTTCCATACTGCGGCTGAACTGCATACCCTAAATCACATAAGAAGCTCAATAAAAAGTTACAGATTCTTGGAACTTACCCCAGGAGACTCTGATTCATTGGGTCTGGAGTGGAGCCCCAAAATTTGCTTTAAAAAGTTTCCTGGCCAGGCATGGTGGCTCACACCTGTAATCCCAGCACTTTGGGAGGCCAAAGTGGGTGGATCATGAGGTCAGGAGATCGAGACCATCCTGGCCATGGTGAAACCCCGTCTCTACTAAAATACAAAAAATTAGCCGGGCGTGGTGGTACATGCTTGTAGTCTCAGCTACTCAGGAGGCTGAGGCAGGGGAATTGCTTTAACCTGGGAGACGGAGGTTGCAGTGAGCCGAGATCGCGCCACTGCACTCCAGCCTGGCAACAGAGCAAGATTCTGTCTCAAAAAAACAAAAACAAAAAAACAAAGAAAAACAAAACTTTCCTATATGCAACCAGGTTTGTGAACCATGGGAGCTGAAGACCAAATTGAGATAGGATGGGAAGGCGATGTGGGAGGGGAGACAGGGAGGGGCTGGAAAGGAACAATATTTTGGGAATGAAGGGTAGGAGCAGCCATAGCCTGATATTGGACACAGTCCCATAGCCAGCCAGCATCTGGGGTCCTATTCCACTTTGGGCCTATCCACCATTCGCAAGGATACAGCATGTTCATTATAGCTTCTATTATCTTTTCTCTTTCATTAGCTTGTGGAATCTTCATAACAACAATGATTCATTTGATGGGTGAAGAAACTGAGGAACAGACAGCTGAAGCACCATCATCACAGACCTTCAAGGGGGACAGCCACATCATCAAACTGCCTCTGACAATGGCCTCTGATCTGTCCTCAAGCTGATGCTATTGGTGAAAGGGACTAGGCCTACAGTGCTAGGAAAAATTAGGCTCAACTGGCACTTAAAAACAGTTAAGTATTCCCCTGATGGAAGATTGCTGACATCCCCCATCTCCTCACTTGTCCTGTCTAGAGCACTTGAAGATGCTGCTATTCCAGGCCACCTCAGTCCACCCTTTCTCATCCATCCATCCATCCATCCACTCATTCATCTTTTCATCTACCCACCCATCATATCATTTGTCCATCCATCCTTCCCCTAACCACCTACCCATCTATTCAGCTACTTATTCGTCCATTTATCACATGCACCTACGTATCTTTCCATCCGTCTCATCCATCTACTTACCCATCCACTCATCACCCTCCACACATGCCCATCTACTCATAACACCTTTTTGTTAATCTGTCCACCAATCTATCCACCCAGCCATCTCCCCAGTTACTCATTCATCTGCTTGTCTCATCCATCCAGGTATTTCTCCATCTGTTACATGCATGCATCCCTCCACCCATCTATCACATCCATCCATCACATCACGTTCATTCATCAGTCCATCCACCTATCCACCCACCCAGACATACATTCATTCATCCATCCACCTTCCCCTTCATTCATCCACTCAATTAACCTTCAATCAAGGTCTACATGGGACCAAGCCCTGTCAAAGGCTGGAGTATAACAAAAAGAATTAGATAGAAACAGATCTTTTCTTCAAGGAGATTCAAGGTACTTACAGAAACGAGAAACTACCAAAGAAGCAAAATAAATCACCAAGGGAAACTTGTCGAAAGGAAAATAAGGGTAGAAAAGGAATAAGGCCAGGAGTCAGGTTAGCGCACAGGTGTGCACACTTAGCATCTCGTCCTCACAGTTGCTCAGGGTAGTCCCAAATTGGCACTGAGCAAGACCCTGGCACTCAAGGCAGAACAACACAAGAGTCACAGTCCACTTCGTTGTGGTAGACACTCCCCAGAATACCCTGTTCTCCTATAACACGCTGGGGTTATATGTGCCCCAGGGTACATTTGGCTTTCTGGAGACATGTTTGGTTGGCACAGTTGATGGGGAGAGATAGAGGCCAGGGATGCTGTTTAACGTCTTACGATCCACAGGACATCCCCTCTGCCCCCGCCACAGATACTCTTCCAGGCCAAAATGTCAGTAGTGCTGAGGCTGAGAAACTCACTTATATCAGAACCTCAGTTCTCTTTGGAGCAGTAGTGTGCCACACCCCAAGGGAAGAACCACTGGTCCAGGCCCATCTTGGCTTTCCTAGCTCTTTCCACTACATACTTGACTTCCCAACTTTCCTTGAACTAGGGGAGTGTGCCAGGAAGTTTCTGGGGAAGTTTTGCTTTTGGATAAAAGAAACGAGGGCATTGAGAAAAACCCCTTCAATTCCTGCCTCCAGCTTCAGACACGTAAGTGCAGACACCACATCTCATTCTGGAACAGCCAATTTCGGTTGTGATGGGGCAAATACAAGGACCAAAGCCAACAAGTGAGGAGGGCAGAGAGGAGGGAAGGGAAGGTCGCGGGATCCAGCTACGCTGATGATCATCATTGTGGCGCTGTTTCTTACGCCCGTCAATTCACTCGTCAACAAATGCTTATTGAGCATTTCTTCTGTGCCAGTCACCGTGGGAGACATTGTGAGAACAAGGCTGAGCAAACCACCAGGTCCCAGAGCTCACAGAGTTTACAGTCTGGTGGGAGAGCCAGACACCACAATTCACACCAACAACTATCTGATCAGAGCGATGACAAGAACTGCAAAGCCAAATGCAGTGTGCCGTGGAAGCACCAGAAGTCCAGGAGGGTCAAAGTCACCCAGCATCACCACACCAAAGGGCAGCTCGTTAGAGTCCTGCAGAAGTTCAAAAACGTGAAACCACAACTAGGATTTTTTGCCCGCTGACTCTGGGCCCTGCACTGTTCTAAGTACTCATGGATTCCTCCATCCAATCCTCACAGCAGCCATGTCTTCCTCTGCCTCTAACAGGCTCTTCGATGTGCCATGTCCCTGACCCACCAATGCACCTCTGCTATGGTCATCTTAGGAGATGATTAATGTTATCCCCATTAGAGGACCTCAGAAGAGAGGTTTGTTTTTTTTTTTTTTTTTTTTTTTTTTTTTTTTTTTGTTTTTTTTTTTTTTTTTTTTTTTTTTTTTTTTTTTGAGATAGAGTCTTGCTCTGTTGCTCAAGCTGGAGTGGCAGGGGTATGATCTCGGCTCACTGCAACCTCTACCTCCCAGGTTCAAGCGACTCTCATGCCTCAGCCTCCCAGGTAGCTGAATTACAGGCGCCTGCCACCACGCCCAGCTAATTTTTGTATTTTTAGTAGAGACAAGGTTTTACCACGTTGGCCAGGCTGGTCTCCAACTCCTTATGTCAAGTTATCTGCCCGCCTCAGCCTCCCAAAGTGCTGTGATTACAGGCGTGAACCACTGTGTCCAGCCTAGGAGAGGGCTTTTGTTTCCTCAGAGCACTTGTTTCTTTTCTCAGAAAGCGACTTTTTTTTTTCTGGAGCCTTTCCCAGCGGACTTCACTAGCTCATTTTACCAATAAAATAGGTGAGGCTCAGAGAGGGGTAATGATTTGACTCATAAGACCACACAGCTTTTTTTTTTTTTTTTAAGACAGGAAGATCTGGCCTGGCGCGGTGGCTCATGCCTATAATCCCAGCACTTTGGGAGGCCGAGGTGGGCGGATCACGAGGTTAAGAGATCAAGACCATCCTGGCCAACATGGTGAAACCCCATCTCTACAAAAAAAATAAAAAATAAAAAATAAAAAAGAAGAAAAAAAAAGACAGGTAGATCTAGGATGCTAATCCAGATGTATTTTATATAAAAAAAAAAAAAAATCAAATCAGGCTCTTTTAGCCACTCTCACACACATACACACAGGCACACGTGTACTGCAGCGAAGGTTCCACTGCCCCGGGACACAAGTGCTCATCGTGGATGCTCTGCAAAGCCACTGGAGTTCTCTTTTCTATGCCCAGACAGATCTGTGGCCTAGAGCGGAGGGCCCGGCTGGACTGTGTCAGGTCTGGAGTCAGATGATTTTTTTTTTTTTAAATCTTGAACCTTAGTTTTCTCTCCTGTCCTTGGAGATACAATATTATTTATCTTAGAAGGCTGTTGGGAAAGTAAAAGAGCTGTCTGAGAGATAATAGTAAAACACCCAGTCCCCCATTCATTCATCCATTCACCCATCTACCCACCCATCCATCCATCCATGCAATCATTAGAATAACCGCTGAATGCTTTTATTTATATGTCGTGCTCATATAATGAGTACGACACCGGGGCAGAGAAGAAGAGACATGAGGACGTCCTACAAGGTGCAGAGACTTGGGAGACAGTGGGGGGCTGTCAGGTTGTATTATTATCATCCTTTAAGAGACACTATGGGGCCTTCGTTTCACCCCTTGCATAGCCTTATGACCTGGGCTGTTCTTCCCCAGAAGCTGTCTGGCTCCTTTGAGAGACAATGTCTTCCTCTGGCCACAGGTTCAACCAAGTCATCCGTTGGCATCTTTAAACCAGGCCTTAAAATTGTGGATTAAGGGTAGCCTCATCCTTTAGCTATGCTATCTCCTTTAATCCTCTTCCCTCGGGGAGAATAGGTCCTGTCATTATCTTCATTTTACAGATGAGGAAATAGGCTCAGGGAGGGTAAGTGTCTTGCTCAAGGTCACCGAGCGGGTGTGTGGGATGGGTTCCCAGGCTGTTTGTTTCTTCAGCCTCTGCCATATTCGTGTTTTATGGGGGTCAAAGCAAAGAAGATTCTCCTGGACTAGAGTCAGGAGATCAGGTCCTAATTCTGACATTCACTGGCCCCCCATCCTCAGCAACTGATGACATAAATGTTCACTGCGTCTTTGCAATCCGCATGGTATCAGCGCTTTACACCCCTGCTCCCCGCGGCATTCACCGTGATCCTGACACATCCTCGTCTTGTCTCCACTTCAGAAAGAAAGTAAGGGGTGCATGAATGTTGAGTCGTGTGACAGTCACAACTAGACCCAGGTCTTCTGGATTCCAGAGGCCAAGTTCTGTGCAGCTGTGTGATTTGAACAGGTTTATAAAATGCACCTAACTTTTAAAAAAATCCAAAATGTGTCCCCAAAAGGTAAAACAAATGTTCTCTTGAATCTCCCTCCTCAGAAACAAACCTGTCGCCAATTTCTTCATGTCATTCCATGAATTTTCTATATGTGGAATGTACATATATACACGTGTGTACATAATACGTCTATAATGTGTGTATACATAGATACGCCTAAATCCGTTTCACTATCAGAAACTATACAGTTCTTCAGTGTACCGTTTTAACTTAATGTAACTGAGAGATTCTTCCCTGTCACACAAACAGATAAGTGTTTTTTCCTTGAACAATGGAATAGCATTCCATTGTAGAGACGCATCATGCCTTATTTACCCGTCTTCCCTCTGCTGAGGGACCTTGGGTTACTTCCAATGTGGGGGTCACCCCAAGCAGGGAGCCTGAGCCTTTTACCATCAATAACACTCTGTTTCTAGCTCTGCATCTAAGTTTCACACATCTGCACTAGATATTCTCATTTTCCAATGCTCCACGCTACGCAGCGCTTTCTATCTCTTGGACATTATCCAGAGACCACGGAGGTGCAGAGGGACCCAGGCTGGATCCCATGCCTGGCTTGACAATGCTCCAGCGACATGACCTAGGCCCAGCAAGGCTTTCTCTGCAGACCTCAATTTGCCCACAGCGAAGCAGGATAGTGCTTCCGAGCCCCACCCTCTGCGGAATTTTGGAAAGTCCCCCTGCGGTGGGTTCCCAGGAAGGCCTCTGGACAGGCAAAATGAGCCAAGCCCCTGCCTCAGGGCTCCTACGACCCCTCCCAGCACTTCTCCACCAGGCAAGCCATGCCTGAGCTTGAGAGCTTAGGGAAGCAAGTCACATGCCTCCGTGGGGCTTCCTGCCCTTCTAGGGGAGCTCTAGGGGGGGCTTTGGGCCCGTCAGAAACACACGGGGAGGTGTCCCATGGCCTCCCAAACATGACCGCAGCCCCGCCCTGTCCATTCTCCCTCCAGCCCTACTTACCATAAGGACTCTCCACTGGAGCCCCGAGGGGCGCGTTCACACTGACCATGGCCAAGTCCACCCAGCCGGAGACCCGGGGGCATGGAGGAGCAGGGGCCCGCACACAGCAGCAGCAGAGCCACCAGGAGCCAGTCCACCAGGAAGGCGGTGAGTGTGGCCAGCTGCCACCGCCCGGTTATCTTATTGATTCTTCTAATCACCCAAGGTGGGTGGATACGTTAAAGAGTAACCAGTCACTTAGGGAACCTGTGGCTGGGGACTGCTGCTGTCTCCATGGCAATGGCGACCTGGCCAGATCTGAGGTCCACTCGGGCCCCAGTTCTGCACTATGGGGTTAGGGGAACCGAGAGCCAGATGTACAGGGACATCAGCCCCCCAATTTGAGGACAGGGCCGGAGCAGAAGGAGCTGGGAGGTGAGAGTCCAACCTGGGTTGGGTTTTATGGCTCCAAACTATGGGTGTGTCACCATGCAGGAAGTAGTGGGAAAGCTGAGGGAGGGGCAGAGGAGAAAAGGAGGGTGGAGAACTGTGTTTATTGAGTGCCTACTGGATGCTGGGAGTTGCATACGGGTGTTATCACATTTAACTGAAACCTTGAGATGAAGAGACTGAAGCACAGAGAGAAATTGCAGGCCTGGAGTCTCACCGCTAGTCCATAGAGGTGTTATCTTCCTTTCATCTAACATATTTATTGAGCACCTACTATGCGCCAGGCCTTGTGCTAGACTCTGGTGATATGGAAATAAGCAAGGTAGAGATGTACCCCCAAAACTTGTGGACTAATGGAGGAGACAGACCTTAATCAGATCGTCATTCAAAGACAGTGTTACAAACTGGTGGTTGATTTGAGGGATTGGGAAACCCCGATCTGCCTCCAGGCCAGTGGGCCAGAGTCATCCCGTCTGGCCCCTCCTCTGGTCTCCTTCCCTCTTCTAAATTCAACCTGCTGCTGAAACCTGCACGCCCTGTTTTAGCTCCCCAGCATGTTAGACACCTGCCACCTGGCTTTTTTTTTTTGGAACAGCCCCATTTCTTTTGTCTCAATTTTGGATCTCACCAGCTGTTTGAGGATTCTGAAATCGAGGTCATTTATCCTGTTAGAGAGAGCTCAAATGAGAAGCAGTGAAACAAACTCTCTCAGAAAAATCCGTAACTCCAGCTCCACTATTTTCTTGCTGTATGTTTTTTGGTAAATTATTTCATCTCATTATAGCGATACCTAGCTCATAGTTTGCCCCGCCTCTAAAATAGCTAATTGATATATTCCTCCTCTTTCCGCCTAGTCTCTTTTTTCAGCTTGATCAACCACCCTAGAGGGACCTTCAGCCCCTATTGATGAACATGGGTTTTATTAAAGTGTCCTTTCTTTTGTAAAACAACAGTGATAATAAATGTTAGTTTTTTTTTTATTTAAAGTATTAATATTCTTGGTCGGGTGTAGTGGCTCATGCCTGTAATCTCAGCACTTTGGGAGGCAGAGGAGGGTGGATCACTTGAGGTCAGCAGTTCAAGACCAGCTTGGTCAACATGGTGAAACCCCATCTTTACTAAAAATACAGAAATTAGTTGGGCATGGTGGCGAGCATGTAATCCTAGCTAGTCGGGAGACTGAAGCAGGAGAATTGCTTAAACCCAGGAGGCAGAGGTTGAAGTGAGCTGAGATCGCACCATTGCACTCTGGCCTGGGTGACAGAGCAAGACTCTGTCTCAAAAAAAAAAAAAAGTATTAATATTTTTATATGGGGAGGGGGAGGTTTGCTAACCCTATGCCAATTTCCCAAAATGTTCTGGAAGTTTAAGTGGCATGTGACCCCCTGCATGAAGTGGCATCATGAGGTCATGTAACTAGGAAGGAGCTGACACAGAACTGGAATTCAGCATCATCTGACCCCAAAGTCTGTGCTATTTCAATGGGTCCCACATTGCCTTCCTGAGCACCAGGATAATGAGAATGACAACCACTGGCATTTATGAACTGTTTAGTTTGTCAGCATTCTACGCTCATAATGTCATTGAATTGTCACAGTCAGTATTCCCATTTTACAGATGTAAAAACTGAGGCTCAAGTAGCTTCATTTGAATCTGTTCTTTTTTTTTTTTTTTGAGACAGCTTCACTCTTGTTGCCCAGGCTGGAGTGCAATGGGGCAATCTCAGCTCACTTCAACCTCTGCCTCCTGGGTTCAAGCAATTCTCCTGCCTCAGCCTCCTGAGTAGCTGGGATTACAGGCTTGCACTACCACACCCGGCTAATTTATTATTTTCAGCAGTGATGGAATGTCACCATGTTGGTCAGGATGGTCTGGAACTCCTGGTCTCATGTGATCCACCTGCCTCGGCCTCCCAAAGTGCTGGGATTACAGGCCTGAGCCACCGCACCAGGCTGAATCTGTTCTATATAACACCAGAGCTCAATGTCTTAACCCCTTTACTCCTGCCTCTCAGCTCAGAAGTAGGAGGAGACTCCGGAGATGCACGAAGGAAAAGACAATTAAACAAAAATTGCCACAGTAGGATGAGAATTCCAGGTGATCGCTTGGGTTTTCCATTTCCGATACAGCCTTCAAGAAAAGCCCATTTCAAAAAATAAAGTAGGAAAGATACAGTCCAAGAAGATACAAACTCAGTCTCTCTTTTTTTTTTTGAAACACAGACTTGCTTTGTCACCCAGGCTGGAGTGCAATGGCGCGGTCTTGGTTCACCGCAACCTCCACCTCCAGGGTTCAAGCAATTCTGATGTCTCAGCCTCCTGAGAAGCTGGATTACAGGCATGCACCACCATGCTTGGCTAATTTTTGTAATTTTAGTAGAGACGGGGTTTCACCCTGTTGCCCAGACTGGTCTCGAACTCCTAGCCTCAAGTCATCTGCCCACATTGGCCTCCCAAAATGCTAGGATTACAGGCGTGAGCCACTATGCCCAAGCTCTTAGTTCTCTTATTTCACTTATTTCCAGCATTTAGAAATTGGTCCTCACCCCACACCTCATTTATCTCATCTGTAAAATGGAGCAATGGTATATTTGGTAGGGCCCAAAGCGCTGTTAGTTCCTTCCCCTGGTCTTCCAGTTGAGCTGGTTTTCCCTTCACCCATCTTCCCCCAGCCAGTTCCCCTTCTTCGTCTTTTGACTCTCTTGGGAGCAGAGAGAGGGAGGAACCAGAAAGAGCCACTGCACTGGATCTCAAAGGACTTTACTGGGGGTGGGATGGGAGGGTGTGACACACACAGGTTGAGAAAACTCATTCCTTCCAGGACAATGTAGGGAATCCAAGAGAAAGGGCCTGTTTTCCATCCCGGGTCTTCAAAGGAGGCGCTCTCCAGCCAAGCAGGGAGTGGGCCCCAGGGCAAGGTCTGAGGGAGGAGATTTTACTATCTCTGGAGACAAAAGGACTTTTGTGCGCTATGATCACTGGGTGGGATGGGGTGGGGAGAGGGGAAATGGCTTATTGGAATGAGAGTAAGATTGTCTGGGAGAAAAAGAATGAGAGACACAGAGACTGAAACAGAACACCAGGCAGAGATAGAACAGGCGGTAGATGAAAGAGAGAGACGGAGAGTCCCCTCAGGTCAACACTGGCTTTCACTTCCCAGTTCTGAGAGGTTAGGAAGCAGGAAGGGGCTGTCAGAGACTCCGCTCTAACCTTGGCCATGAAAGACAAGCTGTGTAGCTCTGGGTAAGTTACACCCTGCTCTGAGCCTCAGTGTACCCATCTGTAAAAAGGGGGGCCTGGACTCCGTGGTGGCTCCAAGACCATGCAGTGGGAGTCAGGTGGGATGTCCACGAGCCAATTTCATTGTTTTTTAAAATCATGGGTCCGAAGTGTGCCTAATTCAGGGAGGGAATCACGAGTCTTCAAAGGCTGCCCAGAAACTGGTTGGCTGTTATTGGATGAATGATGGCAGATTATCTTTCTTTCTTTCTTTTTTAAAGAGACAGAGTCTGTCTCTGTGCCTAGGCTGGAGTGCAGTGGCTCCATCTCTGCTCACCGTAACTTCCGCCCCCCAGGTTCAAGCGATTCTCCTGCCTCAGCCTCCCAAGTAGCTGGGACCTCAGAAGCGAGCCACCACGCCCGGCTAATTTTTGTATTTTTAGTAGAGATGGGGTTTCACCATGTTGGCCAGGCTGGTCTCGAACTGTTGACCTCATGTGATCCACCTGCCTCAGCCTCCCAAAGTGTTGGGTTCACAGGCGTGAGCCGCCACACTCAGTAGAATTCCTTCATTGGACGGACAAAGTCATTTGGGTTTGACAAAGCCTGAGAGTCACAAAACCAAAATGCCAGGATTTCTGTTTGTTTGTTTGTTTTTCAATAGAGATGGGGTATTGCCATGTTTTCCAGGCTGTTCTCCAACTGCAGGACTCAAGTGATTCTCCCACCTCAGCCTCCCAACATGCTGGGATTATAGGTGTGAGCCATCATCCCCGGTCCTAAGGCACCAGTTCTATGCCTTCCAGCCTTTGTTCTCTGAGAATTGGATTAATGAAACATGCAGGGCTCTTTTCTGGAGGCCCAAGAAAAGAAAGATGCAAGTAGGAAAGAAGGAAGGCAAGGAGGTCATTTTCTTCTGACACATGTTGGACATTTAAGAAAGGGAATCTAGGAGGGAAAGTTGAATAGGGATGATTGTAACTCATATCCTTTAAAGAAAATATTATTCCTCCACCTAGTTTTTTGAAGACAGGACGTGGAGGGTCAGCTCCAGCTGGAGATGCACCAAAGCCCAGAGAAAATTCAGAAGCTCAGGAGCTTACAGCTAGTGCTCGACTTATGACCACGGTCGGGACCACGGACCGGTCATAACACGATTTGGTCGTAAGTTGAGTAGGCTATATGTACAGTTGAAATGGTGCACGCAGAGATGGTAGTGCTGCCGGAAGCTGGTCCGCACTGTCGTATGCCCAGCTGGGCAACGTTTGCGCTGCCAGATGTGGAGCAGTCGTGGCTAGCGATTGTGGTCGTAAAGTCAAATGGTTGTAAGTTGCATAGGTCGTAAGTCGATCAATACCTGTATTGGATTTCAGCCCAGAGAAGCATACGTTGCTATTGCAGCTGCTTTGGTAACTGGGGGCACAGGTGGAGCACGGCTTTCCCATTTTGTATGGGGCCTCGCCAATCCAGTTGCCCCCGGAAGAGAAAAGGTCCCAGGGAAACAGAGGAGCGTTAGGTGAGCAACCTTCACGCAGATGTCCAGATCTCAGCGCTGCCATTCGCCAGCTCTGGGACCTGGGGCAAGTTCACATCTTCAAGCCTTGGTTTCTCTTTTTTTCCTTTCCTTTTTTGTTTTTAATTTTGTTTTTTGAGACAGGGTTTTGCTCTTACCCCCAGTTTACTGCAGCCTTTGACATCCTGGGCTCAAGCAATCCTTCCAACTCAGCCTTCTGAGTAGCTAAGACTACAAGCACGTGCCACCATGCGCAGCTAAGTTTTTAATTGTGTGCAGAGATGGGGGTCTCCCTATACTGCTCAGGCTGGTCTCGAACTTCTGGACCCAAGCAGTCCTCCCACCTCAGCCTCCCAAAGTGCTGAGTTTATAGGCCTGAGCCACTGTGCCCAAACTGTAAGCCTTGGTTTGTTCTGTAAAACCAAGAGACCCCCTCTCTCTCTAAGGGATTCAGCAAAGATCACATACCATACCCAAATTGTACGGTACTGAGGGCATTTAGAATGAAGAAGAGATATGGAATCTACCTTTCTTTCTTTGATTTCTCAGAGCCCACCCTCCTGCCCCAGGGACCCCTTTGCCTTGGTGCAGGCACTTACTTAACGGCGTAGTTGCAGACCAGGTATGCTGCCTGATGCCAGATGCTGCCCCAGACACTGATGCTATTACAGGTGTGGATGGCGCAGCCCAGCCGATTGGAGGATGCTCACACCATCTGATGAAGGACAGAGACAGAGGAGGCTATGAGAAGGCCTCAGTGGAACCCAGGCTCCCTGGGGTTGTGTAGTTACATTAGGTGAGGTCTTCCTGGGAGCAGCTGGGGAAGGAAACGGAGACATTCATATTGTAATATGATGTTTCTCAATCTTCTTCTTTTTTTTTTTTTTTTTT